TGTGTAATAATGATCGTCAATCGACATTATCAATGATGTTAAATAAATTTATATCATATATTTCTTTTAATGTCATTTGAGGTTTTCAGGATGGAACCGTTCGGAAGGAAGTTTCTCATTTAATAATAATTTGTAGTTTGTAACTGCTCCTTCTTGTTAAATTTCTTATAATATTATTATTTCTATTCTAAGCCTTAGTGACTAATTAAAACAGGTAGTTGAACAATAATCTAGAGCAAGGGTTTCGGAATAAGATACCGAGATTGTTTATTTGTTTTTGTGAGTTTATCATATCAATTGCTGAGATTTTTAGCAATATACATTCAGGAACTGTGAAATTGTGATTGATCTATAGTAAAAAAAAAATATATATATATAACATATATTATATACATATTACAAGACTATACCATTTAGCCATTGGGGATCTTCTTTCTGAAAGCAGACAGAAAAAATGTACATTATAAAATATTTTCTAATGCACGACGTAGTTTCGTAGCCAATTGCAATGCCGGCTTTATCTCGGATCAAATATTCAAATAAAATTAAGTTTATGTATTTATAACTAAAACAAAGAAAAAAAACCAGTAAGTATTTACAGATTTATAAGCAAAGTTTTGGGACGCTGCGAAAGAAATTGCAAGGAACAAGGAATCCATAAAAGAAATATCTTTTGACATAATATTCGTTACGTTTATATTTTCAATGTATTATTGGATTTTTTACAAAATAATTTACACCATTTGTCGTTAAGATGGACTAATTTCATCGATTTGTATAATTAGTCTTCCTCTGAAGACTGGAAATATTTGTCCAAGATATTCGTCGAAATAGATTTTGCAGCCCCAACTTTGACAATGGTTTAACATAGCCGATAAGAATCATAATAAAGTGCAAATTTTACGAGAACTACATTATACTTTAAATTCGTTAAAATTAGTATTAATTATTAGTATTAATTATATTTGATACATCCGTATGTTTTCTTCTAGTTTTCTAAATAATTATTCTAAATAACGTCTTCCTAGAGAAGTAATCGTATGTAAATATTCTATTTATTGTCAGCACAAATTTTAATAATAAAAATAAAATTATTTATTCTAGTAAATTTGGTAGAATATATTTTCATAATTATTTTTCTACGTTATAATTTTCAGTTTTACACACTTTTATATCGGACAAATTAATAACTTCAGAAGGCTTGCTTTCTTCAAACGTATGCAATTTATATCTTTTTGACTTTAAATCAGCTATCTGCTTATGAAGTTCCATATTGTCATCTAAAAACGTGTGCATTCCATCTCGTTTCTCCAATTGTTCAAGGCTATATCCGATAGTACGACGATTCAAGAGCCATGGTTCCGGTGATGGTGGCGGCGGTAATGGTTTTGGTTTCATGGGATGTGGTAATCTATAATGAATTTTTGTTGTTGTTCGATAATCCATGTTACGTGCTTCTTCAGCATCGTATATAATATCTGTCAATGTCTCTTGTTCTTCTTCGAGGCTGTAATTTATTTTTCAAAAGTATACTTTCTTGAAAGAAATATGGTATTATTTTTCTAAATAATAAAAAATGTGGCAAAGTAGAAAATAATAGTAGTATAATATAGAAGAAAATAGGATAGAATAATAGTATAATTAAAAAGTTTTTATGAAAAGCTAGTAAAAGATTAAATAAAAATTAGTTTTTGTAAAAATTTGTAAAATTCATTATTTGAAAATGACTTAAAATTTAATAAATGCAAGTGCACTTTACCAAAATTTTGTTTCGTATTTCCATGCAGTGCTACTTTTCTTCGATTTTGTTCATAAATAAACAACATTAAGATTAATCTATTTAACTCAAGATTAACCTCTTTAGTGGAGATCGATAATATGAACAGCACTATAGTAAACTTTAACTATAACTTTAATATTAACATTTTTAACTTTCTACTCATATCTATGAACTTAAATAAAAATAAAACACACATACAGCAAAATTTACCTCATAGCAATTTCCGTCTTTTTTGTTTTATTCTAAATTTTAAATTACTTTTTTTTTTACCAAAAATTTATTAATTTTCTTCTTAATTGTATTAGCAATGAATATGAACAAAATATATATTATACTTATATTTCTTAATGAGTAATACACTTCCTCTAACTATTTTCTAATAATTTCAATAACAATAATTATCATATATCGTAACAATGAAATCATATTAGCATCTTCAATTTTAATTATTTACAAATATCAAATGAAAAGTTAGTTTATAAATACATACTCTATTGATGCAAGGGACTTCATATGAAGTAAAGTGCGTTGCGGATGAACTGGCTTATACAGATCTTTTAATTCTATTTGAGACAACATCGCTTGTGTTTCTGTAATTCCTGTACAGGCAGGCTCTGGTCCAAATCTTTGGTAGGATGATGTATGAAGATTTCCCTTTGGTGGGAATATATCTCTGTTATCTCTTGGCTCAGCTAATGTATGCATTTGCCTATAAATATCAAACTTTAATCTTATTTAAAATTTATAAGTAATGAAATATTAACTTATCATATACAATGTATTCCTTAACATCGAGAAAATCTCTTGGCAGTGAATTCTGTACATTTGGCCTTGGTTTCGAGTCGTAGCAAGTTTTATATTATTACAATTCAGAAGATGAAAATTTAAATGAACTCCATCTATATGTTCCATCTATGTTAGTACTCAACATTTATTGTAGAAGACTTTCAAAAAATACTTGGGAATGAAGAGGATAAGATAATCAATGGTAAAATATTTCAAGCTTGTGTTCAGATGCAAAGAGATTATTTCGAATATTTCTTATGAAGATAAGCAGACACTTATTACCTAACTTGCACGCTTTAAATGACTTTAAAATTACGCGTCCAATGAAAAATTATTATATGATTCAGAGCTGGATAGCACATTATGTGATGTATTTTATTTATAAATGGATTTCTATAAATTATTTTTTAAATGGAATGATACATTTTTTAACCGATGCAGCTTTCTATAAAAAAAAAAAGTATTATTACATACTCGTGTATGTCGAAAAATTTTTAGTTTAAAAGATATTTTATTTTTAATTTTGTAAAATCGTATGGAAGACAAGGACATTCTTATATCCATATACTGTCTTTATCTTTTATATACGATAGATTTTACAGAATTAAAATTAAAATATCTCTTAAACTAACAGTTCTTCGATAAACATAGGTTAACTCTCTTTTTATTTTATTTAATGTCAAACTACGTCGATTGTAGATAAAAAAATATAATCATTTCATTTAAAAAAATAAAGATGACCTCGAAATCTCCGAAACGCTTTCACCCATAAAAAAAAAAATACATGCATTACATAAACTGCGCAATTTTTATATGTAACAATTTTTACTGAACAATTTTATAATTTTATAATTATATGCAATTTTGAAGTTTTCTTGAAGTACGTTCTATATTGATTCAAGATAATTAACAAGATCATATATAAACTTTTTTTATTGTTTTCATACGAATTATATCACACGAATTATATCACACGAATTATGGACAGTCTATAAATACGTAAATTATTGGATAAATGAAATAAATATTTCTTAAAATTTAGTGTCCTTACATATACAAGATTTAAAGAATGTAATTGCTTATGTATTCGTATATTTTATGCTATATTCAGCAATTAATTCGAATACAGATGATAATACTTACGTTGATAATTTATTACGGTTAAAATAAAAATCAATGCATAATTTGTACTTCTGTTCTTATTCGTTAATTAAATCTTGTCGTAATATTAAAAATTTTATTTATTTACGTTAAAAATAATTAATATTTACTACTTTTTGAACAAAAATACATGCACAATTAAAAGCTGTTGCAAGTTAAATGGTTTTAGAGTCTGCATTGATTGTGGTAACAAAACTGTGTTGCTAAGCACAACACAGGAAATAAACGTTTTACCCTTCTTGGTTTTACCCTTTTACGTTTTAGCAACGTAGGAAGTACTATTGAACAAATAAGAGAATAGTACAATGTAAAATTCTCTGTTGTACTGAAATATAAAAAATATATCTCACATAAAAGCTCATATTTTATGTTATAATTTGGAACTGTATAAATTGATATAAAAATTAGAAACAGATTATTGCAAATATAGGACAATAATAAAATTTAATGATAAATAAATAAAAAACACACATATATAAAAGTAAAATATTTATACTTATATCGGAATTATTATTATTCTTGAAAAACAAACTTAAAGTCGATTAATTAAATAGATGACAAAAATATTTCCAAAATTTATATATCAGTATAAATATCAATGATATTTTAAATGACAAATATATAGCATATTTAATATCCATATTTTAATATCTATAGGTATACATATCATATACTTACCAATCATGAACTTTTACTTTGGTACTATAAGTAGCAGGAATATGAAAAATAATTGGTTCAAAATCTTTAACCTCATCTTCGCAGATTGGGAGAACAGCCTGTAATATAATCAGTACTTAAACATATATTTGAAATACTCCATATTCTATGAAAATAAATTCTCATTAATACTCTGTGAAAATAAATATTGATTTTGCTATCAGTATAATCTATTTTTGTCCGTAATCTTCGATGCAAACATTTTAATAAATAAATTTTTTTAATAAAAATTTTAAATATATGATATTTTATGACGATATAGCCGTCCATATAATAACCAAATTTAACAGTCCATATAATAATCAAAAATTTTAAAATTAAAAATTTCGTAATATTTTGAATGTAATCTTACGTTCAGTCTTCCTTTCGTTAACATTTTCCTTCGTTTAAATAGCGGAACTTGAATATCTTCGTTATTATTTTTGGTGTTTCATCATTCGAAATAATGTAATTAACTAAAAATTATTTTGAATCTAGAGTCAAATATTGCAAGAAGTTTGTATAAAACATTTTTTATATTGAATATCTGATATCTTCACATTTCTTAGATTGTTCATGTTATGTGCAGATGTGACTTACTGAAACTCTATTGCAGAATCAAAAGATATTTTTAAACAAATTTAGTGAAAGCCTATCTTATTTCGTTATCTTATTAAAAGAAGAATGAATATTACATTAAAAGAATTTATATCGCGGAAATGTCGAAAGAAGGTTATTTCTTTGGAATCATATGGTGAGGAAGAAAAAGAAGTAGAAGATATCGAAGAGGAAGAAAGTGAAATAATAGAGAAATTAGCTTTTGAAGATATTCTTGCTGATAAACGTCGTAAATACAGCGTTAAAGAAGAATTCATTTACCTCCTTTACAATGACATTTTGAAATATTTTGTAATAGAGTAATCAATTTTCTTTTCCACTATATTTCTAGAGAAATTTCGATGTTTTCAAATTCATTTCTCATAAATACTCGGAATAAATAAAACTATTAACATTAAATTTTATTTACGTACAATTTCCCTGTTCATTAGTTCAATTGTACGTAATAACATACATATACATTTATCCCTCAATTTATGCGAATAATTTGTTCTACGTGGTTTTTTATTTGCCGCATAAATTGAAGAATTTTATATTTTATAACGTATATAATTTATAATTTTTTTTTTTGTAACAAATTACATTCTAGATTTTCCTATTAAATGATGATGATCTGACCAATGAATGAATAACTCTTCAGTAAATGAACGTTGCCCATACCATATGAAAAAATTAATACTTGCTATATTACTCTCTTTTCTGGTTGAAATTTTGCATAGCAGCTCCAGTGGAAACTCATAGATTTTTTTTTTTTTAACTGTAACAATATTAAATTTTTTTTATTATTATATATATTTTATTACAATGTATATATTATATATATGTAATATATGATTGGATTATAAATAAAATATAATTTTAATAATATCTATTGAAAATAGATTGATTAAATATTCGAATATTCTATTTGTTTCATGCTTTTTATAAACAAAGTACTGCAAAAACAAGAAAATTTCTGAAGAGTCTGAACTAAAGTAATGAGAAAGTAGGAGAATAGAAGAATTAATGAGGACTATTGAATTTTATTACAATTATTGTATACCGGGACATTAATAATGAAATAGCTTGTTTGCAGTTATAGTATTCAGGATGTTAAATAAAAATTTATGAATACTAATTTTAACTGACATGTAATTTAAATATTCATTCACTACAGATCATCCTAGTTTGAATAAAAATTATTTTAATATTGTAACTTTTGTAAACTTCATAGTTATATAAAATTTCTTTTATTTCTACTCACAGAATATAGTAACATCATTTTGCTCTCAATATATAAATCATTTAATTCATAAATATGATTCAATTATCGTCATGCAATATGTAAGTGTAACTTGAATAATATATACCATTCATTATTTAATATAGGTGGGATGGTAAGTATTTAAGAAAACCTGAGAAGATATTGGAAGTTGATTCTAGAAGTTCATATTGTAAGGAAGATATTGGTAAAGGACGAGATCACAAAGCTGCAAATGAATTAGAAGAAAACAATAATAATTCCAAAGAGTATAATAACGATACAGATAAATCAAACTCTATTTCGTCCTGGAAATTAACATTGCCTGATGAATTTGCAAATATAAGGTTCATTAGTAATAATACGTACAGTGGTCGTATTAGTAGAAAAATGATGGAAGGTGAAGGCGTATATAGATGGTCCAATGGTGTTCAATACAAAGTAAGAATTTTTCATTTGCTATTATATACATTAAATATACACTAAATAATACGTTTTATATAATACGTTATATATAATAATTTTGATTGTTAATTGTAATGTGTGATATTATTTTGATTTTTTTGTTAGTTTTTACTGTTATTGAAAATTTTATGCATAATTTTATAGGGAGAATTCGAACAAAATCTTATGCACGGCAAAGGTTTACTAGAATGGAACAATGTTTGTTGGTATGAAGGTGATTTTATGAATGGCTATCGACATGGTAGAGGAATTATGGTGGATGGGGAAAATCGTTACATGTATACTGGCCAGTGGTATATGGGTCAAAGACATGGAAAAGGGTAAGTAATAAATACTAATGAAGTACACACAAGTCAAATATTTTTTAAAGTACAAATCAGAAAACTTGCAATCTAAAAAATCTCTTTTACAAATTTTTTTTATAAATTTGTAGCAGCGATGTAAAAAAGAGTTATTAAAAATGTTAAAGAAATTTTTAACATACGTAAAATTTACCTTTTTAAATTTGTTATTGAAAAATAAAGTTAATAATATCATTTATTAAAAATATTTAATAATTTTGTTTCTTAATTGATTTGCCTGTAACTTTGCTTTTAAAATACATAGTGGGTATTTATATTAATTTTTCTTTTATGGTATGTCTGGTTTATTCGTATACACACTATTATATATTTAGCTTATTTGAATATATTATAATAATATAAAAAAATACTTTATATAAAAGTTATTTATCTTTATGAGGGAAAACTTAATTCATTTTAATTTTGTTTCAATAGATTTCAATACCGATACAATTTTTTTAAGTCAAATTGTACTCGTCTTTTTTTTTTTTAATGAAACATGAATCTCCTTTTATTAATATTTTAAACGCAAGAATAGGAACGAGAGGAGGAAATTCTGTGTAAATGTTGGCGGAAATTATGACAGAGAAAGTCTAAAAATAGGAAAGTAATTGTCGAGGCAGAGAGATTCATATCATACAGATGATAGAAAGCAAGGAATGGCATATTCCAAAAGGCAATGTGGAAGATACGTCAGAGTTTAGGGGATGTAAGTCGTAGACTTGCGGAATCGTAAGCAACAAAAGATTGGAGGAGATAAAATTTTTCACGTAGAGAAAAGATCGGATCACGCCATTTGCCAGTAAATGTGGTAGTAGAGATAGAAAAGGGAAGAAATAGCAGGATGCTAGAATGGAAGACAATGTAAGATTAAAATTGCTCAGAACGATATTCTAAACATACATATATCAAGGTCAACATCATGTACGAGAATGCTTTATTCCCGTATAAATTAATAATTACTGTACAAATTAATTCCTAAAAAATTATTAGACTTGTCAGCTGTAATATAAATTTTTTGTAAATAATTATGTATTTATTACAAAAGTTACTCTCGTTACCGTGACAATGGTTCATACGATGGCGATTGGGTAATGAACGAAATGAACGGAATTGGATTACGAATTTATCCAAGCGGTGCTCGTTATGTGGGTCAGTGGAAAAATGGCATACGCGACGGAATCGGTACTATGGTCTGGTCTAATGGAAATCTTTATCGTGGGGGATGGAAATGCGGTGCAATGAATGGGTTTGTTAATCTTTATTTTTATGATAATGAATTAAACACATACGTAGTAATGTTATAATCTACAATAAATTTATAATATAAATCTATAATATATCTAAATATTATATATATTATATATATTATATTATATATTATATATATTATTTATATATATTATAATATATATAAATTTACAGATATGGAGAATACGTATGGAATGGATTTTTTAATAAAACGTTTACTTGGCCACAAGAAGCATCATACAAAGGTTATTGGCGTCATGGAATGCGTCATGGCGAAGGTGAATTTATATTTTTATTCTGCAACAAAGTTTGATAAAAGTGATAATAAAATTGCTATCATATCATAGGAGAGATAAAGTTGAATTCTGTCGGCGGAGCTAAATATTCTGGTTATTGGAAGGATAATAAAAAACACGGCTACGGAATTATAATTGGTAATATGAACATTTTCTGAAGCTAAATTTTATAAAAAAGATACAATACCTATATATTGATCAGGAATATAGTAGTAAACTGACACATGATGGCTATCTTTTTTTTTTATAATAATGTATAGATATTACTTATATTTTTTCAAATGATAATGATTTTTTAAATTCGAGTATAGAGATAAACTAATGTATTTATACATGTAGTAAATAATTCAAGATAAACTCAATTTTTAAACGTAACGAAGCGAAAGAGACTGAACAAAATTGTAATTTTATAAATATTTTCGAACTACAGAAGTTTGAGTTATTGAATGTTATTAATATTGCTAATACTAATAATTGTTATGTAATTTAAAAATATTTTAAATTTTGAATAAGATTATTAAGAAAATTAATACTTTTCTTATATTCTATGTTACATTATATTTCTGATATTATATTTCTGATATTATAATTTTAATCAAACATCATATTGAATTAAAAACATTTTCATTTTATCCAGGAAGTAACGGGGAAAAGTTCGAGTCTGATCCATTATTTTTAAATGACATTTTGCACGCTTCTAACGTCGTGATCGATAATTTAGAAAATGAAATAGAAACAAAGGATGAAAAAGAATGCGCGTGTACAGTCAAAGAAATAAAACCATTGTAAGTACATAATTAGATAAATAGAATTTAAGAATATTTGTAGAAAACACTGTAAGTGCCAAACATTAATTTTTTCAAGAAGAAAAAAAATATTCAGCTTCAAATTATTTACCAATAATTTATTTATATTATTTATTAAAAATTTATCAAAAAATTTGATTTTTCTTTATTGCAAAATTTATTGTTTACTAATAACCCAATACATCACAAAATTTTCTATTTTTT